AAGCCATTAACGTGCTGCACGTTACTGACTAGAGCGAGCTCGGTGGCCTGGAGGAACCAACGGAAGCAACAAAGCAGCAGTTCTCTCAACTATATGGTTGTTCAACGCATCTATCCCAGTACATGGTGAAAAAAAATGCTACAGTTGTTGCATAAAACGAAGAAAGTGTCATTGACTGTGGCACCCTGTTAACGTGCACATTACGCATCAAATGGCGAAGGTGAATACAAGCGTTCGTGCGGTATATTCCTCCCCTCGCACTAGGCGCGAAAGGAAGCGCAGTACCAGCAGCCGACAGCGTATGGCCACTGAAGGGAAAGCAAAGCCTCCCTGAGAACGCTGCTGTCCCAGTGCCGCACGAGAGACCAACTCAGTGACGCCTGACGAGAAAAAGGAAAACAAAGCCAACTGAAGTGATCGCACAATGTGTAAAGACGGTTGCACGACGTGAGAAAGGTACCAAATGTGACCGCAAAATACAGTCTGCGCAAGGTACCTCTGCTCAAAAAGCGGAAAGTCAAAATCCCGTGCATCCTGAGTTTTTAGCCTTACTTCTGCAAAAACGTTTAACCAAACGGATTTTCAAATGCCGTAATGGCTGTATAAAATACCTAAAATACCATGGGACGCGGCTGGCTAAATAGGAAAAACGGAACTAAGCCTGGAGTTTGGAGAACCAATGAAAAAATACCGGGATTTGGAGATGTTCAACGCTGCACCTAAAAGGTCGCCTACTGGAAAAAATACACGCAGGCTGGGTGAAATGCTATCTTCATTTAGTGTCGTCAGTGAAAGTTGTGACTTTGTTCAGAAAAAATTATTGTCACAAACGTCAACAACACTCAACAGAAGATTTTCTTCTTAGTCATACGATAATGAGGATGACAAAACAGACGTCATTTACATGAACATGGATATGAGATGACGTTGAAAGAACATGTGTGTTTAGAAAAAGTTGTTAACGATTTAGAGAACGAGGTACCTTACTATGGGACTCGAAGATAAATGGAAATGACAATTAGTGTGTTTGTCGTCTTCACCAAAAACACTCTGGCGTTCATACTGCAACGAGATATAAATTTGAGAAAGTACAGGCACAACAGTTTAATGGAACAGTACGAATGAACCACATGCGCGAAGCAAAATGATAAAGCTAGCAGGGGAACTGTCACCCGGCGTCGTCGTCTTCTATTATATACGTGTCGTCCATTGGCGTTGTTCCGTAATACTTGTAATTACATTGGCTTTGTTCTGTAAGGCGTCTCATTACACCACTGTCTTATTGTGTTTTCGAGGACATTCAAAGAGCAACTAGAGTGGAGTGCCTCTATATTCTTCACATAGTACAGCCACGGCCCCCTAATTAATAATAAAGATGCGCGGCCTTCTGCGTCGTGCTGAAACACGCATTGCGAAGCACGAGCGCTGTGTTATCATTGGTGCCTGAGTTGACCAAGTACAGCGCATAGACAGGCCTCTGAAGGGCAACAAACATGCACACATTGGGCACACGACAGGGTGCATCTTTATTCCTCCTTTAGGGGTGGAGCTCCTTAAAGAGTCCCTGCGACACTTTTTGGATAGCCCTATTTAGCACAACAACGAGGAACGCGCATATAGAGGAATACTGAGACGAATGCAACAGTAATTATGTAAAATGGCGCTCGAAAAGTCATGTTGTGAGTCCTCAATGTTCAAAACTCGAGCACACGATGACAAAAAACGTTCTCTTTCGCATTTCATTCGCCTGTTGACGTCAAAGATGACTTCCAGTCACAGCGCCCGTTCTCGTAGACATACCGGAAATGTCACTTTATGGTGGCCTTTCCACAATACCTCGCTGCCCCTCTTTTTCAAGGCGTCGTCAACATGGTTACTACGAACCATAAAATTTCCTAAATATACACTACAGAGAACTCTGGCGGTAATGTCTATAGGAACTGCAACACACGGTGCTTCAGCGAGCGCGGGAATCATGGGTACTACACAGATTTGTCTCAGTTTCGTACTTCTGGCTCCATGTGTGTTCGTTTGACTTGGAGCTGCTTTCTCACGAAGCAAACATCAGCAAATGTTCAGCGGTTGCACTTCACCACCTTATTCATTCAGACTTACCGTTTCGAATCTGGCCACGAAGTTCAAAAGGGTTCGTTCTTTTCTTCGAAACGAAACCGAAACACAGCAATAAATGAAGCCACAAGTATGATTCACTGCTAGCAAGTACGAAGACTAGGCTAATCCGTGACCTACCCATAATTCCCATAATCGCTGAACGATCGCAGCGCCAGAGTCCTCTCTATTTAATTTTGGAAAACTCTGTGCTACGAACCACGTGCGCCGGGTAGCAGAGGCTCCCACGGTCACACTGTGTAAGAAACACACATACGCTCAGGGCGCGGTAACTTCTCGGTTCGCTTGCAAGACGCGTTCTACGGCAACGCAGGCACCCACTGCCTGTCGCATTTGTGGCTCGCTGAAAACGGGGCATGCGTTTCCACCTTTAGTTTCTGGCGTACGTACATAGCCTCGTTCGCAGGCTAATGGTGGTGTTCGTTGTTCTGAAAATACATCATTGAGAAAAAAAAAAAACGATTTCTCTCTGAGAAACTGCAAATAGGGTTTTTGCTGGTTTTATCATTCACACGTATGGCCAACCTACCACCACATAAATATTGCACGCTATTTGTCACGTCAAGCCATCAAAAGCGAACGATCTTTGTGGTCACGTCTCATGACACGACATCACTTCCCATAGCAAGAATAGTCGATTTGTGTCGCCGTAGTCTGAAATCAAGGTAGTTTGTATCGTGAATTTAAATTATAACAGCGTAGACTTCGGCGTTGCCATTTGAGCAACCATATCGGCGCTTTCCACAGCACCAGAAGGACCGATAAAAAAGACATGCTCAAATTGTGTCGCAGGGCTCCTTTAAGGCGTGGGTCACATGCGTCTCCTGTATGTAGTAGCCACCTCTCGTTCCAGTTCTTGGAATGTCCGCTGGATGGCGGTACTTGTATATCATGAATATATGATCAAAAGATTCGAGACTATGGTACTTGGAGTGTTTACTTGATGGATGGATGGACGGACGGATGGACGGACGAGCGGGCGGGCGGGCGGGCAGGCGGGCGGGTGGGCGGGCGGACAGACAGACGGAAGGACTGACAGACGAACGGATGAACCAATGAATAGGTGGACGGACGGATGGACTCGCGAACATACATACATACATACATACATACATACATACATACATACATACATACATACATACATACATACATACATAACATACATACATACATACATACATACATACATACATACATACATACATACATACATACATACATACATACATACATACATACATACGTACGTACGTACGTACGTACATACAGATCGGTGGACGAACGGATGGGCGGATGGACACACAGACAGACAGACAAATAGACGCACATACGGACAGACAGACGTACGGACGGACAAACGCACGCAAGGACGCATGTACGGACGGATGGATGGACACACGCACGCCTGGACGGATGGACAGACGGCGCACGGACGAACAGACAGACAGATGGCTGCAAGCACGGACGGGCGGACGCACGGAAAGACGCACGCACGCTCGGATGGACAGACGAATGCATGTATGGACAGACGGGTGGATGCTTCGCCCCCACTCATCATGATTCACTCTGTGGATATGCTGTGATTTTTTTCTTTCTTTTCGTCCCAAATGTGTTTTCGGCCGTGATTCATCAAGTCTTTCCTCACGTCGTTTTCGTCATAGAAATGGTGTTTGTAAAACGCACGAGAACTTATACCAACGAAAAAATAGAAGAAAAGGTCTCATCGATGCGAGTGCTCTAAGCGAAGATGCTACGTCTTTTCGGCCCGCGGCCATATGTGCCGGGCGCTACTTGTACGTGTCACAACTTTTCCCCGAAGGATTCGCCAGCGGCCCGCTCATGGCTCAAGCTACGAGCTTTGCCTCTGGCGGTCTTGAAGTGATGTGTGCTGCTTCAAGCATCAGTACATGCTTAGTTTACCTGATTACTATAGCGAGCATAAACCTTCCTGTTTGTCTTGTCAAATGACGACGCTTTATATAAACGCAGTTATATATAATATGCTGCCGATGCACACTTTGCGCGGGATTCACCAATGCTGTGTTCAGGTGTACCGTTAACCGCTCTAACTACCCCTAAGGTTTAATCACGATTATCGTCGTTAGCCAGCAGCATAAACCACCGGCTGTCAACGTCGGTGCATCCACGTTAGACGTTTGGGGCCAGTGAATACAAGTGCTTGACTGCTGATACGAAAGTAACGAGTTTGATTTGATCTGGGTCGCGGTAGTCGCGACCCGGGTCGGTGAAAAGGCAGAGCCCCATTTACTGTGGGACGTCAGTACACGTTTAAGGAACACTAAAGAGCAATACGTCTTTTCGCGTATTAGTAAAGTACAGTTACACAATCCCGAAAACACTAATCTTTCTGCGACAGGATGCGACGCTTCGCAAGTGAGAAAATATGTGAAAATAAAATGCGGGTGGAGACGCCACCTTAAGATTACTGCACTAAACACCACACCATCGTAACTTTTAAAGTAGTCTACTGCGTCTTACATAGCTTCTACAAAAAAAAAAGAAATTAAAGACATTGTCATCTGTGGGTGCCATAAACGTAGCGTTATCCAGTTCCAGAAAATTTGATAAAGCCAATGCCGCGACAATACGAAAAATGCTTTTTCAAAATTTTGACGTAACATGTGGAGACATTGTCGCGAAATTTAGAAACTAAACTACAACCTTGAATTTTTGCCGTTAACAATTCACTTATAATAATAAAAAAATGACATCATATTTTTCATAGTGCAGCTGGTCAATCAAAACCAAGTCATTGTTCCGGTTTAGTGTCTCTTTAATGAACACCACGTGGTCAATATTTCCGGTGCCCTCCACTACGGCGTTTCTCATAGGTGAAAACACCTCACCAGTTTCAGGGTCAATCTGGACAACAGCGCTGCCTTCGAAACACGCCATCCAGATCTTATCATTCAGGTCCATGGTCATGCCGTCCGGGAGGCCCAGTCCCTGAAAGCCGGGAGTCTTGTTGAAGTCGACCAGTACTCGCCGGTTCCCTGCGGGGACAAAGGACGGTTGCGAGCTTTAGGCAGCTGCGAGCTGGAGTCAATGAACCGAAGATATTGCCATCCAAAACACATACACAGAAAAGCTCACAGGCTTCCTCGGAGGCCAAAACCATTCTTCGTCGTTGTTTCTATCTGAGTTATCATTACCACTCCTCTCATATCACCACCATCGTATCAGCTTCGTAGGTGACGTGAGAGGCTGCGCGGACTGCTGATTCTTTGTATGACGATGATGTGATAATACATAATTGTTATGAGGCATGCCACAACGGTCATCGACGGAGATTTTGACAACCTTAAATGAAGGTACATGGACTTCTAGCATTTGGCTGCCATCTCGATGAGACCGCTGTGGCAGCGATCGAACCCGCGAATGTCGAGTCACCAGCCGAGCATCGTTATAACTGCCACCGCGGCTACTGCTGCGCGTAATGTTGATGCCGCAGATAGTCAAGACCCCAATGATTTACAGCAACGTATTTTGTAAAGTGTTGATATCGTCGAATCGCCTACTCGTTACTATATAAGGGATGAAGCGCTTCAGTGTCTAGGCTCGTCTGTTGTTGTTGTTGTTGTTGTTGTTGTTGTTGTTGTTGTTGTTGTTGTTGTTGTTGTTGTTGTTGTTGTTGTTGTTGTTGTTGTTGTTGTTGTTGTTGTTGTTGTTGTTCACCTATTGATTGTGGCGCATACCCACTATGGGGGACTGGCCAAGAATCGAGTGGTTTCAAAAATTACTGTTCAGATTTGGAATAATAGAAGTATAACAGAAAGATTACCGATAGCCTAAGAAAGTGTGGTGCTTAATGCAATGCATACAAATATTTACATAAACGAATTTATTCTTAGAATAGAGCAATAATCTGACTTTTATACGTATATAATTTTGTGGAAAGGTTAGGATCCATTGTTTATTGTCCGGCGATGGCGATGACACTGCTGTTGAGGAAGCAGAAACGCGTTAGCACATGCACATCATATGCAAGGTACCCACTACGCGCAATGATTAAGACGCTGGTGACGATGAAGATTAAGCGCGTTGCACAGACCACCAAAGGGTGTGTTTCAATACTCACCGTAGACGGCTAAAGAGGCAGCTAAATGGACGGCGGCCACCTTGAGTCCCATTCCGAGTCTCACGTAGCCGGCAACATAGACAGCTCCGAGAAGACCGCATCGTAGAGAGATACGATGCAGGCTACTTTGCGGTCTAAATAGGTTGGCGGCTCAGCGAATCGCTCAGATATATCAAATCTCACCACAATGATCGTCCGCACACAAGCAGACGCTTTCCCAGACGCCTAATTTGAGTAACGTTTATTTGTTTTTGATTTCAACACAAAATAAGCCAGGAATTACAACTGTTACGTTTGTTTATTTTAGGTTTTTTTGACGCTAGGTGGCGCATTGTCGCGTGAAAGCCGTCTAAATGTGTTCCATTTCTCGGCCAGCATGGGCTTGATGCTGTCTTCTAAGCAGTCTTCGTAGACTGTCTACGTGCTGTCTAAGAATTGGAACACAGCCCATGGTACCCCCCCCCCATACGCCATGACATTGATGATGACGATGAAAGAAAAATCGGGTTAGCACATGCAAGTTACTTGATGATGATGACGACCATGGAACATTCTCTTTCTGTCAGGTATCAAAACGAACGTAAGCTGTGGTAAAATGACGGAAACGTTAAGCAGACTCAAGAGTTTGGAGACTCGTACTTCTCGAAGGCTTCAACGCTGACATCACAGATAACGACTGGCTTGTACAGTATATGACGCCCAGATACGCTCTACGATGAATGCCGTATGATTGGCAGCAACCCACAACTACCTGGCGAACGTACATAGACCTCGCCTTTGTCAACATCAGGCTAGATCTGATAGAATAACTACTGCCCTTGAACTTCACGGACCACGAAACAGTAATAACTGAGGCAAAACAAGATCCAGAACATATATTTTATGACCAATAAATATTATGTATAATGGTACACCGTTTTATCGCTCACTTAGGCGTGTTAGTGGGCAGTGTGTAGGGTGATTTAGGGTAGCACAGAAGGATGCCACTGCTTCGCCCACTCATCATGACCCACTTCTTGGAGATGCCATGCTTTTTAAGGTGATAGCGTTGAAAAACTCATTTCCCAGAAATTCAGGCGTCGGCATCGTAGGTTGTGAGCAAATAATCACCATAATATTCGTGACCCGAAAATTGAGAAAGGTGCAAATAAAATAAAAATGATTTCCGCGGGTCCGAGTAATGATCGAACCTAGGCCGTTTGGGGGGAAACAATTGTTTTACTACAGAGCAATGCTTATTTCAGCATTGAATTAGGCCTTAACCTATAGGGCAGCTCTTCTGTTAAGAAATGTGCGATGGAAAGCTAATTTAAATCGTATACAAAACTTTGATGTGAGCAGAACAGCTGCGGCAGAAAAGGAGGACTGGTATGGAGGCTGGCCCCCTACCGATCCCGCCCCACAGCACCGCGGGGAAGCGAGTGCCGACGCGACGATCTTTGAAAAATGCAAAGATTCTGTTCGTCTCCGACATGAGCTGATACATACGTCAATTGTTTCCATAGTCCAAATAACTGTCGAACACTTTTCCGGCTCGAGTGGCTGGCATTCGAGCGAGCAGCCCTCGGGCCGGCACAGGACCGCTCCTCTGGCCCCGAACCACTAACCACCACTTTGCGGCACAGCGTGGGCACTCACACCGACTCCATTGGCGGTGGGTCTCGTTCTAACGATGGCATGGCACAGTTGTCTCCCATGGTTAGAACCAACAACGTCTTCCATACTCAGCGACGACTACTGTACATCGCCACTGGTCTGGTGATAAGTGAGAGATAAAGACACCATATTGTTACATGGAAAATAACAGTACTCAGTCCGCAGCCACAACGCAGCTCACCGACAACGTCCCTTTCTTCACTTTCAGTCCGAGGCACCTTTCTTGGGTATGTCCCACTATGCCCTGTTTCAGTCATTCAAAATCACGTAACACGACCCCCGGCGGCCAAAGCGCCGACCCGGCAAGTTTACGGGGCCACAGCAGGAGCAGTGTGGTAACGCTTGAGCCTTGATACGTGGACGATGTCCCGGGACAGCAGAGCAGAAGGGGTTGATGGATTATCAGGGACAATTTATGTATAGTGTCAGTCCCTCGTCTAAGCACAGGGTATGGGCCCGTGAAACGAGAGAGAAGCTTCTCTGAAAGGCCTGCATGTCGCGTAGGGGACCAAAGGAGAACGAGGGAACCGGTCGGAAAGTGTTCGTCGCGATGCCGCTCGTCGTAACGATGATTCTGCGAGTCTTGAGATGCCATTAATCTGTTGCAGGCAAGCTGACGAGCATGGTCAGCTCGGGTAATAGTGTCACGTGCATATTCAGAAGTAGACTGCGCAGTGGCTGGCAGGAAGGTATCCAATGGCAATGTTCGCGTCCAAACAGAAGGTAAAATGGCGAGTACCTAGCAGTGTCATGCCGGGAGGAATTCTGTGCGAACGTCACGTAGGATAGTGCAAGGTCCCAAAAACGATGGTCGGCCGAGACGTATTTCGATAGCATGTCTGTCAGGGAGCGCTTTAAACGTTCTGTAAGCCCGTTTGTCTAGAGATGGTAGGATGTCGTGAGCTTATGTTGGCTAGAGCAGGAACGCAGGATATCGTCAACCACATTCGAAAGGAATGTACGGCCTCGGTCTGTCAGCAGTTGACGAGGGGTTCCATGCACTAAAATGAGATCGCGTATAAGAAAATCAGCGACGTCTGTAGCGCAGCTTGTTGGCATAGCTCGCGTAACTGCAGAACGGGTCGCGTAATCTGTAACAACCGCAACCCACTTGTTTCCGGAGGCGGTTGTTGGGAAGAAACCGAGAAGGTCGAAACCAACACGGAAGAATGGCTCCGATGGGATGTCGATGGGCTGAAGATATCCGGGAGTCCCGGCAGCTTTTTGCGACGCTGGTAAATTTCGCAAGCGTTGACATAACGACGTACAGAGCGTGAAAGGCCAGGCCAGTAGAAGCGGCGGCGCACACGGCCTTATGTGCGAGAGACACCAAGGTGACCCGCGGTTGGCGCGTCATGGAGGTCGCGTAGTACTGTGGAGCGCAGGTGATTTGGTATGGCCAGAAGTAGGCCGTGACCATTGGGCGATAAATTATGCCGATATAAGGGGTGGTCCTTTAAGGTAAACGTGTGAACATAAGCGTCTTGCGGTGAACATTCGTGCTGTTGTATTAGGCGGCTGATATCCGGATCGCGACGCTGCTCGTCCCCGAGATAAAGCAGCTGGGAGATGGAAAGGACGCAACCCACATAATCAGTGCTCGTAGGATCGCAATCGGCCACAGGGTAGCGTGACAGACAATCCACATCTTTGTGCAGTTTTCCTGATTTATACACTACGGTGTAAGAATACTCTTGGAGGTGGAGTGTCCAGCGGGCGAGACCACCTGTGGGATCTTTGAGGGAGTTGAGGCAGCAAAGAGCGTGGTGGTCGGTGAGAACTATAAATGGTCGGCCATATAAGTAAGGGCGAAATTTCGTGACTACCCATACCAGCGCTAGGCATTCGCGCTCTGTGATGGAATAATTACGCTGCGAGGGGGCAGCAGCCTGCTAGCATAAGCTATCACACGATGCTGCCCACGTTGTCGCTGAGCCAACACAGCGCCTATTACGCAACCGCTGCCATCGGTGTGGACTTCGGTCGGTGCCGTAGGGTCTAAGTGAGCCAGAACAGGACAGGAAGTGAGCAAAGTGGTCAGGTCGGAGAATGCTGCTGCTTGCGAGGGACCCCAGGTAAACGTCTCATCTGGTTTGAGTAAATCTGTAAGGAGCCGAGCGATTTCCGCGAAGTTCTTGATGAACCGCCGAAAGTATTGGCAGAGCCCCACAAAGCTGTGAACATCTTTGGTGGTTTTTGGCACAGGAAAGTCCTTCACAGCTCGAACTTTTTCTGGGTAAGGCTGTACGCCGTAAGGGT